CCAAACAGCACGGTCCTTCTAAAAAGGAGATGTTCATATTGGAAATCTGGGCATCACTTAAACAAGATTCGCTATAGAACAAGTCGCGCAAATCGATGCAAGGAATCACAAAAATAAAAACTAAAAAACAAATGAAGTACACCCTTCAGTTTAAGTTTGAGACTTCAAATATCAAATGATATATTATTTGATATAGTATAGAGTACCATCGAGCTCTTTACAGCAGTATCAGAATCTACTTGTGCACCTATCCATTAGGCTGAGGAGCAGGAAGAATGATATATACATCAATAGGAGTAATCAATTAAGAGCCTCAAATTCTCCTACTAAAAGAAGAATTAGAATTTGAAGAACCTCAACTCTTACCCTATAATCACCTCGTTTAAGGAAGACAGTGCAGAGATTACTATCCCCCCCCCCCCCCCCCCTCTCCATGTTGTATACTTAATGTATACCATCTACAGGGGCATTAATCTTCTGTACTTGAAATAAAACAGGAAGCAACAGAATATTATGGCACCACAAGTCCCTGTGATTATCAACACCCAGTCGAATGCACTCGGATCATTAAACAGCGGTATCTCAAAGTTCATGCCAAAGATTCCAGCGACCACACTGAAGATGGTAACGATAAATGTTGCCGTTGTCAGTATAAGCTCAAATTGGATCAGCTGATTTCGGACATTATCCTGAAAACAGAAGGAAAGTGAGTTGTCATTCAGTGCATATATTAAAATGGCGGAAAGCGTACGATATGTAATTTCGCAGAGATTAACCAAGTTAGACTCGTCATTATATAGATTTCGCAGAGATTAACCAAGTTAGACTCGTCATTATATAGATCCCCACGAAATTTTATTTCTTTAGGATCATAAATTGCTAGTTCAACTAAATGGAAATTTTGAACAAGATATTAACTTATATCATTCATTGATCAACAAATAAAGATCAACTGATCAACATTTCAGGGCACTTAAGTGATGCCAAAACTATAACTAAATTTTTTCTCAAGAAGCAAAGAGTAGAACTATAATTGTTGAACTGGAGCTTAAAGAAGAACACCCAAAGCAACATCAGTGAAGTATATGACAATAGCAGAGAGCATACACGACTGATTTGAGCCACACCACAGACGGGGATGAATGGCAAGTCTGAAGTTGAACTTGAAACCTCCCTAATTCGAAGAAACCTGAACTACTAGGGATCATTACTGTGATTATTGCTAAATTTGAACTATTCTCTTTAACTTCAAGTGAAGTGACATGAGAAAGTGTTTCTGCTACAATGTAGCTATATCATATTTACTATGATGATAATCAACATTTTTTCAACAACTTTGAGTCAAAGGCATAAGGACGTAGATGGGATGAAGCACCGAAATTGTGTTTAATTTTGATGATTACATATGGTAATTATTTAATCAATAGGATTATAGTAATTTGAATCTCCAGTTTGCAGCTTCAATCAAGAGTAGCAAATCTCCATAAGTCTGACTTTTCCCCCTCCAATAGTTGAGTTAACTATACAAAAGAAAGCGCCATTCTGGCTTAAAAAGGAAGGATAGCCACATACATGCTTAATACACAGATTATTTGTCCTCACTGTCATAATATGTGAGCTAGGGTAAGCTTTGCTGCCAAGGATAGAACGAGTGGCTCAATCCATTCAAATTTCTAACCTTGCGCCAACTATTGAAAAACCCTAGGATTAATGGTCACTAACTGAAAGGAATGTGAATAGGAGCACACTGCCACCATAACACACATCTCACACTAGCTTGCATACCCATCCAAGAAATCACACAGAACTCTAAGAAGGGACCAGGTTGACTGCGGGGCTATAAATCACACAAAACAGACACGCATTTCAATGAAATTTCAAGGTCCAGGGTGGCCTACACCTAGAGGACCAATATACATATTTTATGGTAGCTTAGACCCAGCCGGCTGATAGATAAAAACAAATCAATATTTTTACTTTTATCTAGCATCAACATGAGAAATACTGTAACCTTGGAAACCACGATAATGCATTATGAAATAAAGCAGCTCGAAGCCTAGAAACGGCAAGCAATTCCTGGTTTGATATTTATCATAATTGTTTTAAAAAAATATTTCATGAAGTCTTATGTTCTACTGCCAAGCAAATTTAGGTGAAAGGCTTTGATTATGTTTTTGTTTTCACTAGACAAGAAGGGCCATGATACAATGATTACCTTTGCCCCAAATATAGAAACATGGTTGCATTTTGCACAGACTTATAATTATCAGCAAAACCTAACTAGATATATACTTGCTTTCTTTAAGATTTTAATTAGGGCAAGTGGATGCAAGGAAAATTGATGTGCAGAATTTCTGGTTGACTATTCACTAGCCAACTTAGATCACAGTCTGCAATGTACTTTCCCTGTCTTCACTTCCTCAGCATCCACATACAGCCATATATGGTCATAGAATATTAGCTTATCATGTTATCACAGCCAAACATGGTGTAGCTTTGATCACATACTTAAAAAAAGGAAAGAAAAGGGTAAATTACCAGTTGAATGTTTATGAAATCTTCTGTGTCATCAATGTACTCCTTTAGCTGAAAAAATAAAGTAGACAACAAATTTTAGAATCAAGACCACAACAATGTTGACAAAGGATAAACAGAAGATTAAACTTGCTAAGAAACACAAGTTACCGAAGTTAATTTGTTAAGAGTGCTATCAATGACCACGAAATAAGCTTCCAACAACATCTCCAGCTCTTCTATATTTTCTTTGGTACTGTCTGAACTTTTCATACTACTGTGCCTGCTTCTAGCAAAGCTTAGTGCCTTCTCAAGTCTTCGTGACTCAGGTGGTGAAGACACAGGAGAAACTGGAGCAGAAACAGACACCCCAGGCCCAGTAGAACTGTACCCTTGTAATGATTGATCACCAAAAAATGATTCCATACGCCTTTTCTTTTCAGTCAGATACATTTCAGCCATATCACCATCATCATCCATTAGTTGCTCTATTTCATCCCTAACCTATAAAAAGAAGATTAAAGAAATAAGATGAGCGAAAAAAAAAACTAATTCAAATGGCATTGCATTATAAGCTCTACCTTCTGTACTCTCCGTGTTAATGCAACTAGTCGACTTTTCAAACGACGGACTCGTTCTAGGTTCAGGGTACTGATCTTTGATGTGAGCTCATCTAACAAGGGATATGCCTCGATTTCTAGTTCAGCTGCCTGATAAATGACAAAATTCCAGTCCCTTGACTATTTATAGACTAGAAAATGCAAATAAATATTGCTAAAAACTAAAGCACGAAACAAAATTAATTTGAAGCTTAAACACATGATAGGCAGATAGCACATGAAAGGTTAACATGATGGACTTACTCTACAGTATAGAACAGGGAAAATATATAGGGAATAGGACATAGCATTCAGAACTCCAAAGCAACTAGAGCATAAAAAGAAGGAAAGCTCCATATGGAGGGAAAAATACAACGAGAAAGCTTGTATATTTGATTTGTAAACAGCCTAAACAGATCAGAAAGTCCATGGCGAAGCTTTCATTTTCTACAGAAATGAAAAAACAAAAAAGCAAACGCATAACGAGGAGAGGGGATAAACACACTACAAACAGTCAATGTCTTCTACGTTGGCATGATTCATATTTTTGGTGAGATCCTTAATCTTGTGATGATGAAATGATAATTTTTCAAGAATGAACTACATGTCAAATTGTAGCATGCTTGTTAGTAAATTAGTTGAGCTTTTAATTTTTCTTAAAAGATAAACTTTGAAATCATGTTCCTATTTATAAAATTATTATGGAATCTTTTTATATTTGTTTAAAATCAAAAACCAACAAAACACGTAACTTACATTATGTGCTACATTGTATCGGGTTTAAGTTATGGAGAGGAAGGATGCTATGTTATATGCTAAGTTACACGGGTATAGGTGCGGCGGGTGTGCAAGACATGGCAAATTTGTGAAAGGAAGGGTACAAGGACACAGCTATATATATATATATATATATATAAGAGCAACATTATTTTTTTATTTCATGTGCTATGAAGAAAAATTCCTATAACACTTATATGTCTTTAATAATATAGATTTATAAATTAGAAAAGTGCTTGTTTTTTAATTTGATATCCAAAAGTCACTTTACAATCATAGTTTTGAACTGGGTACGAGCCAAAATGAACCCAACTTATATCCAACGAGTTTCAAGAATCACAAAGAATTGCATGTGAAGTGTATGATATGCATCCAAGAAGTATATGACGAATGTTTTAAATTATAACATGTGTTATATAATTGGGTACACATTTGAATAGGTGTATGCAAATATTCAAGAAGTGTCCCCTAAAGTTTCGGTGTTGGGTATGGGTACGACACGGTACGGCTCCAAATAGAAGTACCCATGCAATATGTTATCGTTATCTTCAACAATGCTCAACAATAAGTATCCAGTACAAAGAATAAAATTGATAAGTAAACGATGATTATCACAATGAAATGTGATTTGTAGACACGATGTTATTTGCTTTTGCAAATAAATGGATTCCAGGATACCGCATTTTTCAAATTTCTATATTATATAAATAATGAACTTAAACCCAATTGTCTACTTCTCATCGATTCCGATTCTAGGGTTCTTGGTGTGTTGGATACTTGAACACTTAGTCAGCAAACCCAATATAATGCTTTCATGTAGTTATAATCTGTACACTGCAAACTCAGTACTCTTATAGTGTCATGTCAATACTAAATTGTATCAAGTAGGCTCTAATACGTCTTATTAACAGTGTGTTGTCATATGGACACATGATACATGTGTCAAGTGTACTAAAGTGTCCAACATGCAATTTCTAAGGAGGAGGAACAAGAGATATGCATGTGTGCGTGTGTGCATGTGTTGATCCATAACGTATGGAACAATAATCTCTATGCAACGATATTTGTTTACTTATTCATGATATTAGGACTCGACTAACAAAAGTATGACTTGGATGGATGACATAGGTAGTAATATAACACTCGTTAACACTTCTTCAAATTCTCCCTGTTAGGGATTCACTTTACTAATCGGCGGAACCACACAGTTCTCAACATATGTATAGCGAAAGATAAAGAACTCAACAAAAATAAAGAATAGAAAATCAACCAGTGAGACACGAGATTCAACAGAGGTTCACCCCAAACTTGGCTAGGTTCTTGGCAGAGCAGATTTTCGTTCTCTCGAGAAAATCTGATAGATTTATTTAGCTCTCTTTATAAGCATTCAATCTTTCTATGTTTTCTCACTGTCTAGAAACCAGAAAACATGTATATATAGGGTTAAAACCCTAACTCGAACACAAATGTACTATAATACGCCTGCACCATATGAAAATTTTGTTGGGATGGCGCTTCAGGCTTCAGATCAAATTCTTTCATACTGCAAAATGCAAACATCTGGTGGTGACTAAAAAAATCTCCACATGGCATCACTTCCATTGTATGTACATTCTAGAATTTCTTTAAGCTTCTCGCTTATCAAATGATAACGCATTCTTCTTTTCCAGTTACATGAGAAGTGTGTGACTCATAAGATATACTCGCCAAAGATCATTTAGTATCCCAGTGTTCAATAGAGAATATGCTCGATAATACTACACTGCCAAAACCAAACTACACCGTGTCATCCTTAGATGCGATTCAAACCTCAAAACATTTAATTATTATGTTCCTAGTGTAACACAACACCTAGCAAACGCTCTCCCTTTTTTACATTCCTCGTCTGATTCCACACTATCACGTTATCGTTATCAGTAACTACTATCAACAACCTGAACCCCAAATGCAAAAGGTTTCCCTTGTAACTTGCAAATAGACCCCAGAACCAATTGCAGCCAATAAAATCATCCACAAAGGTCTACCGTATCACACGCAATTACAGCTCAAAATGCAAACTTTAGAGGATAATCACTTTCCCAGTAAAAATAAATAAATAAATAAATAGACCCTAGGATCTCACAGAGAAACGAACCTGAGCATCGAGGAAAGTACAAGCAGCCTCGAGCGCAACCTCAAGCGCCCGGAACTCAAAAGGCAAAGTCCCGTGAAGCTCATTTCAGCTCTCGACCGAATTGTTCCCCGCCATCAGCCGCCGCTGAAGCTCCACCACATACTGAATCACATACCCGTCAAGAGAATTGAGAAGCAAAACCTCATCTGCAGTGATTATGCATCTGATCTGCTCGAGATTGACAACAATCGCCTTCTCTCGACCGAGAATCGTGGAGGGGTAAACAAAGAGGGGATCGAGGAGCCGGAGATCGCGCGCGGGGAGATCGCAGCGCCGCATCATGGTGAACTTGTCGACCTCGATGACCTGCGATTGGCCGGTGGCGGGGGGAGGGTGTCCGAGGGGCGTGAACGGAATTTTTCCAGTGGGGTCCACACAGGCGGAGAGTACTGGATTCAGATGAGTAGCAACGGGGTTTTGGAGTCTTGGGGGTATAAAACCTGAGCTCGATTTTCACCACTAAAACTGGATTGCTTCATCCGTCTCGCTGGTTCTGTCGGATTCATCCAATTAGGGTCTGTTTGTTTGCCTATTTCTCAGAACAATTGTTTTGGGAGTGTTTGGTTTGCTAAAAAAAAAAAGAAGGAAATTAAAGAAATGAAGATGAGATGAGTTGTCACCTTATTATAGGATGATGTGAGTGATTTTTTAAGAAAACTTGTTTTGATGTTGTTTGGTTGGCGAAAAAAATAAGGAAATAAATTATAAGAAACATATTTCTTGTAATAGGTTGTTTTCTTTTGTTTGGTTCGTTCTTAAAAATAAGAAAATAGATGAGATGAGATGAGTTGTCATTATATTATTGGATGATGTAACTCACACTTAAGGAAATTGTTTTCCTAGCTTTTTGGGAGGAAATGGGTGAAAATAAAATGTTAATGAGATGAAATGAGTTGTCACCATCTTATTGGATGATGTGAGTGATTTGAAATGATAAGATGAGTTGAGTTGATGGGCTGTTTGGATATGTTTTTTTGGGTGGTAAAAAAGGAGAAAGCTGCCAAAAATGTTAGCTTTTTGGCAGCTTTCCCCCAAAATCACCTTTTTAAGAGGTGATTTTGGGGGAAAGCTGCCAAAAAACTAACATTTTTGACAGCTTTCCACACTCTTACCACCCAAAAAACAGGAACCAAACAGCCTCTAAGTGATGTTGTGGATAAAAATAATATTTTATTAGATATGATGGATGAGTTGTTAGATGAAAATAATATTTTATTAGATGTGGTGGATGAGTTGTTGGATGAAAATAATATTTTATTAGATGTGATGGATGAGTTGTTGGATAAAAATAATATTTTATTAGATATTATGATATTATGAGTGAGTTTTAGGGATGAAAATGGATGAAATTGTACTTTTTGAGTTTTCTTGGTTTTCATTTCTATTTCTTGGTTTTTTAGGAAATAACCAAACAGGCCCTTACCAGACCAATCTCATGAAAGGGTTTTTGCTTTGCAAGCTACTACCGTGTGTGCCCCTGTAACGTACAGCCTCTTAATTTTTTTAATTAAGCACTGTATTTTAAACTTATTTTTTTCTAAGTTTTAATACATTTAATTTAATTATTATTTGTTTAAAATTAAAAATCATATTCATTCTTGTTGATGCTCAATATCAAACAGCCAATTAATCCAGAAGAGGATGGTTGCGGGGTGATGAAGGATGATGGAGGACCCGCTCCCTTCTTCGACTTTATGCTTAGTTCTTGAACGAGGATTTGATGTTCACACCAGACAAGAAGAACCCGTGAGAGGGCGGGGACCGGTTCCCCCATGATTCCTCCGACTGTCAAGTTAGTTGATGAACTTAAGCTCGAGCGGAGTTTAGAATTGTATGTTCTTATGCTATATGCATTAGAGATTATCATCTCTCAGGTTTAGATCCGGAGGAAGATTTAAAATGCTCTAAGAGTCTTTTGTTAGGTTCGATTCTCCTCCCTTTTGGCGGTGAACCGCCTTCATCTCTAGAGTGGATGTCTATGGCAGACTGGTTATTTCGGCCATACAGAGTGACGGTGACAAAGTGTGAGCTTGAAGGTGAGTCATCCCTTGCCCTACAGGTATCGGCTGACGACTGGAGGGGAAGTTATTTCAACATGAGAGATGGTGTCTCCGCGATGTCCGTGAAGTGACTTGTGAGTGTGGCAGAAGTCACGTGGGCATACTGAGTCGTCCCTTGCTTCACAGATGCCGGCTGACGATTGGAGAGGGAGTTACTTCATTATGGGAGAGAGTGTCTCCGCATTTTTCTAGGAAGTGGTTGAATTGACAAGTCATGGAGATCTGTCAGACCAAAATCTGGATAAGGCTTGTCCAAAGTGGACTGAGGCGTCAACATTTGCTCTGGGGGAGAGGCTTGAGGCCGGGGTCGAGCTCTCAATTTAGTTGACAGCAGGGAATGTCCCTTAAGTCGTTTTTGAGAAATGCCCCATTGAGTGGTCGAGTGCCCTGAATAGGGTTGTCCTCGATGATAGGGTCGACCGATACCGTCTTTCGTGTTGACTCAGAAATGTCAGCCTGTTCGACTGGTTGGAATGTCGTCTTGCATTAGCTAAGAATCGTCTTTCGAGTCGATATAAAGATGTCGACTCGTCCGGGAGGTCAGGATCTCTCGTGTCGAATCATATCGCCTTTCATGTCGACACCAGAGTGTCGGCTTGATGAGTTGGCAGATCCGAGGACTCCATGATTGTGCCTTGGGTTTATTCCTGATAAGGTTCCAAGGGCTTGAAATTCGACTGAGAAGTCGAATGCCTAGAACTCTTGAGAGTTGACTAGGGCTCTTATTGCATTATTTTATAAATACTGTTTCTTGGGTGAGTAAATACCATAAGGACTCTCTTATACTTAAAGAAGGATCTAAGTTTTAATATATTTAATATATAAATCACACCTGCTCCTTTATACTTAAAGAAGCATTCAAGTTTTAATACATTTAATTTAGTTTGCAATTTATAATACAGTAAATTACTGTAACATAAACAGTAACTTATAGTATTTGCTGTAGTATAAACAGTAACTCTTTGGATTTTCCTTTAAGCATAGAGGAGTAGATGACTCAACTAGTATTTTACCACGTCCGATGGTGGACGTATGAGTGTTATTTCTCACACATTATTGATTTCCTTGATTTATAATTTTGAGTGCTACTTTCCTCTCCCTTATTCTTATTGTTTACCCCTATTTTGTTCTCTTATTTTTTTTCTTACTTTTCATAATATTTAATTTTTCATTATAAAAAACAGTATGAAATTTGACGATATGTCATATTATTAAACTTCAACACCAAAAAGGACAATCAAAAGTATAACCATTCACCATGTTTACACCTATAACTGCTACATTTTTAGTAGAACTACATATTTTGATTCTCATGTGAAGCCTATTTTTCACCTAGTTACAAATTTAATAAAAAAGCACGATACAATTTGACGTTACGTCCATTCAGAGCACAAATCATATACATCTAAAGGCGTCAATGTTATATAATTTTAATTAAAAAGTACTATAAAGCATGTTTGAGAAACTTAATCATTTGTTGAGATAAACTGGAGGAACTAGCAAATAATTTCAATGTCAAAGGAAATTGTTATTTCAGCAGCCATTGCATTCGTAAACTAATTCTTAAGTAACTTCAAATTGCTTGCTCAAGGAGAAATGCATAAGCAAACATAGTTTATTTTATCATAGGATGGACTATAATATACTATAGAATTAGCTGCGCAATTGGGACTGCCAAATTCTACAATAACATGGGCTAAATACCCATATTGGTATTTTAATTCTACCATATTTACCAAGAAGGTATTTTAATTAGGCAAATCTGCTTTAAGGTATTATAATTGATTCAACTTACCAACAAGACCATTTTTCTCGTCGGCGACCAGTTTTCCGGCGAGAGCTCGTCACGTGTGTGACACGTGATGACTTAAAATGTTATTTATCTGCTGATGTGGCACGGATCTGTCCTATTTTGGGTGAATTGGGATTTTTAGAGGGTTAATTCCCGTATTTATATACTGCAACGTTAGAAAATCCGTGCCATATCAGCAGCTAAAAACAGTTTAAGTCATCACGTGCCACGCACGTGACGAGCTCTAGCCGGAAAGCTGGTCGCCGGCGAGAAAAAGGACATTGTTGGTAAGTTAAACCAATTAAAATGCCTTAAAGCAGGTTTGCCTAATTAAAATACCTTCTTGGTAAATAGGGTGGAATTAAAATACCAATATGGGTATTTAGCCCAATAACATGTGATAGATATGGGTGCTCTATTAACTTCCCGTAATCTCTTCTTCAGAAAAGATGTCGAACAAAAAAAAAAAAAAGATATCAAATGTGAGTAATTCGTAACTATTGAGGATCCACACTTCAATTTTCTATCTATCCCAAATTATTTATATTTCGAATCTTTAACGGAGAAATTTGATAATGGAAAGAACGTCGAGGCAAAGATTGCCACCATGATCAAAAGAACTGAAGTACGGAGAGGGAAAAAAAATAACACAAAATTTTTATCACTAAAAGTCTTGTAGCATTAAGTGAATCAAGAAAGTCAATACGCCATGCAATAAGCATTTAAAATTTTGGATTTTTTTGCCGAATGCTCTTTTGATATTACCCCAAGCCTTTTCCATAGCAGTCTTTAATTAGATTCAAGGATAAATTTAAAAAAAAATTATTATTTTTAAAAAATAATTAGTAAAAATGATCTTTTTGCTAAATAATTAGCAAATTCGACCTTTTTTTAGCCAGCTCATCAATGCTGGCCAAGAAAAGTGTTAATTTTGTAAAATTTGATGTTGAAAATACACGGACCACTAGTCCTATGTGTTTAGAGTTCACTAATCACCTCCTAAGCACAACCTAGAAAGCACACGACACTAGTAGTCCTGTGTGTTTTACAGAAAACCCAAACCATGCACGCTTCTATTCCAACTTATATCCAGCGTATATACAATATTTCCTGTGCATAAAAAATTTAAATTCACCTCATATACATATCTAAATAGTATAATCCCTCTATAAATCTGATTCCTGCAAAGGAGGACCAATTTGCTCCGCTATAGTCAGATGTTGATCAATCCATCTGTATATGTGTTGATGATACATATTTTTCTAGTTTATCTGATGTCCATCTTTGTTGACTTCTCTATTCTTTTAACTTCTTGTGGAACATGATGTGCCAAACCAAACTTCTAAGCATGCGATTCGGCATATGCATCTCCATAATTTTAAAGCATATGAGAGGAACTCTTGCTCTCCAGATAGCTTGCCCCTCCGTGCAAATTAGTGGTAGATGAGGTAGGAGCTCACGGTAGGCTACCACTTGAACTAGAAAATATTCCACATATTAGTAACTCTTAAAAAGTGGTTGGTAGATTAAATTTTCTTAAATTAAAATTCGATACCTAATAAAATTTCAAGCGATCAAGCTCATTTGTAAAAGTCTAGTTGTCTTGCCGGGGTCTCATCATAGCATTTTTAGACGTTCCGTCTGCTTAAATGATCAAAGTTTAGCATCTAATACCATTAAAATTTTAAATCAAGTTTGCATTAGTTAGATTCAAAAGTGCTTGCCTGCAGCTCTGTCCAACTAAAACTCATTTCCCGCATAATCTTGGTTTCAAAACTAGTCTCTCCCACGCCCAAACTTGTAATAAAGTCAGACACCCCTTGAGCTCTTTATTTTGTCTAAAAGCCACTTTGGACATTTCTCTATATAGGTATGCTAAAACAGCACTATCCTATGATAATGTACCTCAAGTGTCCAAGTTCTCGAGAAGTGGTAACCACCTATCATATTAAAAAATACATTTAGTTCTATTCAAGTAAACAATTCAATTATATAAATATTCAAATTATAAATTATATTACCTCAAATGCACTCTATATTTACTAGAATTAGGAAATAGAAGCGTCCCGATCATGTGCAAAATATATGCTTGTGTATATTGCTGGATCATGACTTGGGATACATCTTCTGGCAACGGGTGTGAGAAACACTGCTAGAAATGAGACTTTTAGCGACGAACAAATCCGTCGCTAAAAGTCGAAAATCCGTCGCTAAAAGTTTTAGCGACGGAAAAAATAAAATTCCGTCGCCAAAATACCGTCAGTACATTGAGGGTAGCTAAAATTACTTTTAGCGACGGATTTTCCGTCGCTAAAAGTTAGCGACGGAAAATTAGCAACGGAAAATCCGTCGTTCTATTTTCTATTTTTTTAAAAAAAAGAAAAAATTCCGTCGCTAATGTAACTTTTAGCGACGGAAAATCCGTGGAAAATCCGTCGCTAATGTATCTTTTAGCGACGGAAAATCCGTCGCTAATGCTTCTTTTAGCAATGGAAATATCCGTCGCTAAAAGTTACAATAGCGATGGAAAAATCGTCGCTATTAGCATGTCCCCGTGTATGTTTTCCGTCGCTAAAAGGGTCTATAGCGACGGTTAATCCGTGGCTAAATATTTCTAATATTTTTTAAAAATTATTTTAAAAATTGAAAAAACCTGTACAATAATATAATAAATTTAAAACCATGTTCAATCAGCAGTATAATATTCATTCCCACGCATATATAACATATATTTTAATAAAAATATCCCAACATAATTAAAATTATTTATACAACACACACCATGATAAATATTGTTTATACAACACACACTCATTGTTTTCAAAGGTAAAAAAAACAAATCAGTCCTTCTGATCATCATCATCCTCATCACAAGCTCCACCTTGTCTAGAAGTTCAAGCCTGCAAATATAAATCAAACGTTAACAATATGGCATGACATGCAAGTATAGCAATAAGAGAGAGTATCATGGCATATTCTTCTGTATTATACGCACGCACATATTCTTATATACACGCACGCACGCGTACACACACCAAATCCGCACCTCCCCCCTCAACCACGACCAAATCCACACCAAAGCCGCCACCCACCCACCCACCACGACCAAACCTGACACCAACCAATCAAATAACGCTCACCACAACACAACACAACATAACAACAACATCACCACCACCACAAATCTCCCAACACCACCCACCAACCACACTCAACCCCCACCCCCTCCATCACCACCACCATCAGCAAATCCTCATTCCTTCATCCTTGCAACATCCGCTAGTAGGTAAACTAAGAATGGCTCCCGCTAGTAGGTAAACTAAGAATGGCTCGGAGTTATCATTACTAAAGTTGGAAAATATAATCAACAAGAACATTAAGGCACCAACAAGACATTAGGTAAAACAACACCATCATCAAAAACACCCATACAAACACCACACAGACCAAAAGCCAAGAATCTTGCTCCTAAGAATAAGAAGTTCCCATTTCTAGATCAGCCTAATTATGATCCGTCAACAAATGAACTCCCAAATCTCCCAACCCCACTAGGAAGGTGATAAATCTCTCTCTGCATGTAATTAGGAGGCAACCACCATTTATCCAGATGCTTGGACACCAATCAGCTGGAAGACTACATAGATACAAGCAACATGAGTAGAGATACAGGCCTATTTTTCTCGGGTTCATGGGAAAGGTCAAGGGTTGTATTACTTAATTTGTATCATCAACTGAGGCGTCTACTTGGTCAAAGAAGGAGACTTCTTTGTCAAAGAAGTTAGGCATTAAGAAAAAATAAGGTAGCTTTGTTAAACACGAGGGCGGCTGAGTTCCCACAACAAAACAAAAAAAAAATTTATCCAACATTGATGAGCATTTCATTAACCTGAGGGGAACAGTACTGTTAAGAGACAAAAAAAATTCTGCAGTCACCAACTCCTAGCTTCATCTTCGTCCAGAACACTCATAAAGCATAAGCATCTATGCAAGCCTAATTTGTGTAGTTTATCGCGCAATTGTCATGTTTTGTCCTGTGAATATTTTTCTGCAAAATGAGTATGCCCGCTTCTCTTCCAGATGAGACCACCATCGTAAAAAAAAGGGAAGGAATTATCATTGGACAAGTCATGCTTTAATTTACATGTTTTACCTGTAAACTAGTCCAAAATAATAGAAATAAAATCTGGCACTGTTCTAGATCGATCTCTTTATTTCTCTCGAAACACAAAGTTTTGGTGTATCTTATTTTCATTTTGTTAGCTGCACCTAAATAATGGGTGGAGGCCCCAGGAAAGGTTTCTTCTTTGTTGTTTATGATAAGTTCATCAACAAGAATTTACATGTTCCTTCCATGAATTTGGAAATGCTAGGTATATGTTGTTCAGCAACAACCATATTTCAATATTCGAAATATGTTTACCATTTCGCAAAAAAACAATTAGATGTAACCTAGATGCTGTAGTAGATTTTCTATATTGACTAGTTAAAATTGCCTACACAGCAAAAGAACGAACAAATGTAAGCAGCAGATAAAACTATAAAGAAAAAGGGTAGAAATAAACTTTACCTCCCCAGCAAATAATCGAGGTCTAAGACCAAGGGCAGAACAAGGAGCATCAAGAAGAACCTGGTCGAAACTATTAGGCATATATCCCTTTGAAATTTCAACTCTTGCGCCCATACAATTTCTTCCCGGCCCATTTCTCATTCTGCGTGCATCTTTCCTAAGGTCGGCTTTGCTTAGATATCTTCCATTACTTGTTTTTCCACTGCTGGCTGAATTGAAGAATGACAAGAATGATAGTCATCAAGGATTTAGATCAATAAAGCATGAATGTTAAGAGTATGGCATGAGTAGTTTAACCCTTCTATAGTACTTATTAGTACTAAAGCTGCGGAAAAATATCCTAAAAGAAATAATTTGTTATTGAAGATTTAATCACTACCATTATACATGAATAACACTAACACAAAACACTGTTGGTAGTTAAATTATCTGACCATGCTCCAGAGATTGAAAATTCTAAATAGCCACAAGACAAACATAAAGTGGTACTTCTATATTTTACACACATATGTCATTAACGCAATCACTCTACAATCTGGAAAGCAAGTAAAATTTATCTAGAGGCACAGAAGCAGGTAGGTTAACAAATACAAAGGTTCTAAAAAATTAAATCATTCGACTAAGAATGACAATTTCATTTAAAAAAAGAGGATGAAATTAAGTTTGTAAATTGTAACTGCTCTTTAGTGTGCTTACACTCATTTTCTGCATCTTGGAGTTTCTTGCATAGCTGCTTTTTCTCCTCTTGTTCAACTAAAATGTTTCAACCTTAACTAGGTGAAGGATCCTGCAAAAAATCAAAAGAGGATTCAATTCCAAAGACTAGCATTCTACAACAAAAACCAGTGCTAGAACCTCTAAGGTTTACATGAAAAAAGATGCCAGAAACATGCTCGATAAAATGACACATTGAGGAAGCTAAAAAATCCTTGAGGTCGATGCATACAGATTGGGTAACGATTACCTGTAACACAAAAACGAAAAGGGAGAAGGAATTTGTCTCAACGAAGAATTATCATCCTCGGAGATTGGGTAACGATTCGCCGGCTCCATCATACACTGACCCCAAAAAAGAGAAGAAAGGTAAAAAAACCTTTTATAAATTAAAAATGAAAATAAAACCTAAAAGCAAACAAAAAGGGATAAATTATTACCTCCTGAAGCGTTGAGTAGGAGACACCGCATTCATCATCTGCTCCTTCTTCTTATTCACCAACTGCATCATTCACCATAATCTTGATTAGATTAACCTAAATTCCAGGGTTTTAGAGAGGGAGATCCTTAATTAACGAATTAATTACCTCCGCTTGTTTCTCGTCGTCGTTCTTCTTCAAAGACTCCATCTTCGAACACGAAAGCAGAGGAGGCAAGCGGGAAAATGGGTTCTTGTCACCAGCTATCGGAGAACGAGGCACATCGAGAGGAGTGTCAGGGCTCAACCTTTTCCCTCTCTCGCTACTCTTTTCATCATACGGAAGCAGCCGCTTCTTTTTCTGGAGCCAGCGAGGGAAGAAATCTGAGAGAGTGGAATCTGGGTCGGTGGTCTTTAGCTTAATCAGAGCCTCCGCCGCCTCGAGTTCGTCGGCGGTGAACTCTGAAGACGAGGAGGAGGAAGCCATCATCGTTCTTGATTTTGAGAAGGGGGGAGAGAGAGAGAGGGTGATGAAATTTGGGGACTTGAGAGGGTGCGGGGTGGAGGGGGTTAAGGATTTGAGAGGGTGATGAAATTTTCGGGGATGAATTTTTTGGCGGTAGGATGAATTTTTTGGGGAGAACGGATTGAAAAAAGCCCGCGCCTAAAAAAAATTCTCTTTTTTGGTTTTAGGGACGGAAATTTCCGTCGCTATAACCCATTTTAGCGACGGAAATTTCTCAACGGTACATTTCTGTCGAGAAAGTAATGGCGACGGAAATTTTTCGTCGGCAATAGTAAAATTTCCGTCGGCAAAACTTTTTTGCCGACGGAAATATAGCGATGGTAAATTCCGTCGCTATAACATGACTTATAACGACAGAATTTTCCGTCGCTAAAGTTCCGTGGGCAATAGTTCATTTTCTAGCAGTGAAAGTATCTTTTAGCCACTTCATTCTAACATCCATTGGGCAATGAGGGTGACGCTACTCCCAACAACTTCTCACAAACTTGGCGTCATGCATGTCTATCTGTCCCTATAACACAAGGACCATTAATGCGGAGACCAAGCATTATTGATACATCTTGGAGAGTAATACTCGACTCGTCGATACATAGATAAAAAATGTTAGTCTCTGGCCCCCATCTATCCATTAATGCACTAAGTAGTAATTTCATCCAGCGTAACCTTGAGCATGTGAGAAAACTAGCTTGGACTACCCCGATAATCGTACGCTCATCCTCAAATGGCCAATGCATAAGTTCGAGGCTTTGATCAACCATAACTAGCTCCGGTGCTCTCTGTACAATAACAAAAAATAATATTAGAGTATAAAATAAAAAATAATGAATTACAATGCTTTCATGCATGTATGCCTCAAGTTTTGTTACATCTAAAAATGACATAGGGGCTGTTTGGTAGGCCGCAACTGGAGTGGTTGCAACTCCAGTTGCATGCAACTAGGTCCAATTTGACTAGTTACATTTGTTTGTTTTGCTGCAACTCACAGTTATAGTTGCAACCACAGTTGCAAAACAACCATTAGTTGTAATATATGACTTACGTCAAAAATGACCGCAAGTCATAGTTGCAACTTAGTTGCAACTGACCTAAATTTATTAAAATCAAAATCATTACTTAATATTTCAAAATTAAATTCATTAAAGGTTTAAAATAATCTTTTAAATAATTCTTATTATAATAATTTCTTCAAAAACGTTTTTAAAAAAACAACATTAATCTTTTAAAATAATTATTATTATAATAATTTCTTCAAAATAATATGTTAGTTTTAAAAGTAATATATTATCTTTAAAATAATATATTATTTTTTAAAATAATATTTTTTAAAAAATAATATATTTTTAAAATAATATATTTTTTGAATAATATATTTTTTCTAAAATAATATATTTTTTGAAAAATAAAATTTTCCAGGAATACTATTATTTTTCTAAAATAATATATTTTTTGAATAATATAATTTTTATTAATATATATTATTGTATAAAATAAATAATGAAGAATTTGTTCTAGAAAATAGAATATATTACAGTTTATTTAAAGTACTTTTGCTATAAACTAAAATAGATAAAATTTTTAAAATAATATCATATATTTCTCAAAAATCACATTATGTTTTTAAAAATAATTATACATTTTTCGAAAATAATATATATTTTTTAAAAATTGATAGTTATAATGTTATTAAAATAGAGATATAATTAAAAATAATACTAGTTTTGATAAATGATGTTTTTGGAATAATATTTTTTTAACTAATATAATATTAAATTAATATATTTTATCTAAGTAATCATTATATTAAGAATAATATTATTATATTTTTAAAAATTAATAAGTAAATTAAAGTATACTATTTTTGCAACAATATATTGTTCAAAAGTAATATGCTTTTTGGAATAATGTATTTTTAAAATAATATAATTTTCTAAAAATAATATATATTTTAAATGATATATTATATTATTTTAAAAAATATTATATTAACTTTTAAAAATATATTATTTATTAAAAATATATTATTTTTTTAAAATATATTTTTTTAAATATATTATTTTTTAAAATATATTATTTTTAAAAAATATATTACTTTTTAAAAAATATTATTTTTTAAAAATATTTTATGAGTTGCATATGTTAAGTTATAAGCATAATCAAACAGCTGCAACTATAAGTTATAAAATTTAAATTTTAAACCAAACAATTACAGCTGTAGTTGCATGTAAGAAGAGTTGCAACGTCTCAGTTGCATGCAAGTGACACTTGCATTGCAACTCTAGTTGCAAACAACCAAACGCCACCATAGTCTTTGAACAGTGTCGTAACTAATCATAGAGGACGTCATCACTTATCGGCCCATGTAGCATAGTGTATATACCTACACATACAATTGGTAACATATTAGTTCTTGCTGAATTAACAAAGATTATAATAAATAGCATGAAATAAACATAAAAAACTTATTACCAATTAATTGATAACTACTTGTTCTTGATGGACAACGAGACCTATTATGACCAAATTGATTACGTTGACTACATTTAATTTTAGACACCACTCCTTCCCGCACTTAATCCATGGTACCTCCGATGCACACAGAATGAGGTCATCCTGTTTGTCTTTTGTACTGAGGTGGTAATAGACATGGTCCATTATAAGCCGGCCATTAGCCACTATCATGGGGAGGATGAAAATTCTCCTTGTAAGCCTTCCAGTAATGATTCGTTGAATGCCAAGCTAAACAATACCGATCATAAGACAATCTAACACCACCATCCTAATTCTTTATTTTTTTATTTGTTCGCTCTCTTTCTCTGCTCTTGTCCTAGTTTTTTTATTTGTAGATAATCACAAACTCTCTACATCTCTATACTTTCATTCCTCTTTGTCCACACACATTTTTAGGATCCAATTTAGAATTTTTCCTACACATCTTCCTCGTGGGATCGATATTATAACTATATTATGACTTGATAGTTATCCTCTTGCACTTAAGTGCATAATTATTATGTCCATATCAAGTTTTAGGTGCCGTTATTGTGAAAGATGCTTGTAATTAGGATTTTCTATTTTAATTCTTTGATTTTTTTTGTTTAATTGTGAAGGAACAAATTTGAAGAAGAAGATTGAGGATTGAAAATTGAAGATTGAAGATTGAAGATTGAAGATTGAAGATTGAAGATTGAAGATTGAAGATTTTTCGAAGAGGTGCGTACTCTTTCTAATATTTTCAATTCCATCATTTAGTTAGTTTCTCACAGTTAGAGACAATTAGGAGATAATAAAAAAAATCTATTGTTGACCATAATAAAATCCGCCCTCCACTTAAATAACTACTAACAAGATAATAAATCTAAACAAGGGCTCTCTCTCATATTTGTTTGTTTGTGGAACATAATTAAAAAAAGAAAAATATTTTCCTTTTGATATCATTTTGCTGCTTTTAATTCTTAGGCTTTGCATTGCATATAGTTAGTAGGAATTCACTTAAGTGATTTGAGTATTTTAATTTGACACTCACTTGAAAATACTCTTAAGGGAAAACCCCTATTCAAGATAATGTGTGTGATTTAGCACACAAATCACTAATTCCTACCCAAGCCTTCTAAAACTCATTAGATGTTGGCCCCTAAGGACTCAAGCTCATTAATGAATAAGAAATCCTTAAGTAAACCAGCTTAAGCTTACTTAAATCCGTTAGTGTCTAAGACAAGAATTAGGGGTTGCATAAAGTGTCCCACTAGGAAAGTAATACTTAATTATGTGGTATTTTCAAACCGAAACACGCCCGAATCTAGTTGGTACTTGCAAGTAAAAGTAAGAGTCTAGCAATCAGTAACAGTAAATAGACAAGATATACGTGGTTCAACAACGTGCCTACATCCACGGGACAACGACGAGCTTCTTTATTATGAAAGAGTAATCTGAGAAGTACAAACTCTTGAGAACAGTTTCCAGTTCTCTCAACTCTCAATCTGAAAGTAATCTGTTATACTCACGGATTCCTACACTTTCGATACAAAGAAATACCATGAAAAGAACTCAGGAAATAGATGATGTTTTCCCTCAAAAATCCCATGATTTAATCGCTGGAATAGGCAGATATTTATAACAATCGTTGCTTCCTATTCTGAGTCTTAATAGGACCTAAAAACCGTCTGTGTCCTTGTTTGAATACAAAAGAAAACCTGTACGCCTGTTCCGTGTCTGACTTCTGAATAAGAATAGAAATCCCTATAGAATAGGGATCCTATTTTATAGGATCTGTATTCTGTCACATATATAGTAATCTTATTCTGTTTCAAACTCTATGGATTGAAACTGTGAGCCACGAAATCCCACAATCTCTACCTTGGCGAACAATTTTAGGACACACTTCTATCAGCTCCATCAGCTCATACATCTCCACCTTGGCATGAAATCCCCAGCCAAGGTAACCTGCTCGTCGTCGTCCTCCCGGCCTAACAGCCATCTGCCCCTAAGGGCCATGCCCCCGTGGGGCATCAACACTGAGAGAGTCGGATCAAGTTGAGACAGTGCTCTAACCTGACCTCGGGTACAACCTTCCATAAAATATTAGCTGCATTCTCCTCGGTATCAACTTTCTCTAGTATCACGACTCTGTCCTCGATGATCTGATAAAGTAAAACATAACATCAATATGCTTGGTCCTCGCATGATGAACTTGGTTCTTTGCCAAATGGATGACACTCTAACTATCACAAAGAACTGTAATATCCCTCCGAGTAACACCCAAATCACTAACCAGATCTCGAAGCCATATAGCCTCTTTTACTGCTTCTGTCACTGCCATATATTTTGCCTCTATCGTAGACAACGCAACCACTGACTGTAACATGGACCGCCAAGATATAGGACCACCTGCCAATGTAAAACAGTAACTTGTAGTAGACCGACGCCTGTTTAAATCTCCTGCATAATCTGAGTCAATATAACCTATC